TCCCCAGCTTGGGCCGGGTACTGACAGGGAGTGTGACATGAGTACCATTGAATGAGAGTGAGGCTTCTAAGTGACTGAGGTGCTTTTGAAAATGGATCTTAGGGAATCAAGCTTGGAGACAAGGGGTCCTGCCATATGCAAAAGCTATTTAAGGCGGGGGAGTGACACCACTGTGGTTCTTCACTGACTCCACACCCAAAGGAGACTCTTGGAAACACCAGAGAACAAGGACTGAACTGGGTGGAAGTGCTGGACCCAGGCTAGAGGGGTTTCTAGCATATGAAAGGAATACCTGGGGGTTTTAAGCTGCAAGCAAGGGCAGCTTGCCCCTTGGATGCTCTGCAACTGGTTTGAATCATCATTTAGGTATACTTGGTTCTGCTTCAGCGTGGGGTTGGGGGAGGGGTTAAAATGGCATCCCGAGGTCACTTCCATCCCATACTTTCTATGGTTTGTGTTACAGTAACAGCCAAATGCTCCAGTCAGTATCCGAGCCCCATTGAGGTAGGCACAATACAGCTATATAGAAAGACATGGTCCCTGCCTATGGATACTCTTTAAGAAGGTTCCATCACCCTGTCTGCCTAGTTTTGTAGGTAATAGGTACAGTTACAGTGTTGCCAACTCTCCCAGTATTATCACAAGAAATGGAATTACGGGCACAGTCCTGGAGAAGAACAGCCGATCAATCAGAGCATTTCAGGAAGCTGGCAGTGCTCGTCCTCCTCCCCTCAGGAGCTGAGAGATTTCTGAGTGGCAGTGAGGGAACTGCTGATGACAAGATGCAACAGAAAGAGCCAGCTACCAAGCTCTCTCCTCCCTCCCTCTCAGGAAAAATAGGTCACTCTGCTCTTTGCTCCCCTCTCTTCCTCCCTCCTCTCCTTTCCATCCTTGCAACACCAGGCCTGGGAAGGGGGAAAAAGGGTGAGGAACCCCTGGAGCTGCAGGAGGTGCTGAGGTGCATACAGGGGCAAGGGGCAGATGTGGGACTGGGGCGGCAGAATGAATTAGAATTTGGGGGGGTTGGAATGAAGCTGGAAGCTCTGTGATATAAGGCAGCATTTGGTAGAAATCTGTCTAATTTAATCTCAGTTGGGTCTTGCAGTGAGAGCTTCTTCAGAGAGACCCAAAAATCACCTTCCCGTATAAGTGCGTGAGAGTTGACAGCACTAGAACAGTGACACTCATACACCGGGGGTGGGCAGGGGGAGTTCAACAATCAAGAGAATAGTATTTCTTTTTTTAAAAAGCCTAATGATTTTTTTTTTTGGGGGGGGGGGTATATCATGATTTTTGAACTTTTGGAGTTGGCAGTACTTCAACCTCTGGTGACCTTGCTAGGGAAGCCCTTTGGGATAGTGTATGCAGAGGGGATAGAGTTTTCAGAGGACAGGCACTTATTGGGGGAAGTTGTGATGGGTTCCCTCTGGGGTGCCACCTGGAACTGGGGTATCACTGAGCCCCCCTGACTCACCAGCCTGGGCTTCCTCTCACACTTTGGTTCTGTGATAAGTTGCCAAGCTCTCCAAGCTTGCTCTTTCACCAGCATATACACAGGTAGAACACACCCAGCTGCAGAACTTATAGGCTGCTGTGATCAGCTCTGCATGGGGAGCCTCCAGCTAAGGAACTGTCCAGCTGCTCAAGAGCACACGCTCCCTCTGGCACAGAGATCGGTATAGCATAAGCTCATGAAATTCACCCCCTCCCTCAATGTGGAGAGGAAATATACAACAGCTTTTTTGCCCCAACTTATAGCTCCCACACACTGGTTTGAAATAAAGCAAAAACAAATTTATTAACTACAAAAGAGAGATTTTAAGTGATTATAAGGGATAGCAAACAGATCAAAGCAGGTTACCTAGCAAATATTCAATCTAAGATTAATATACTAAAGAGATTGGATGTGAGTAGCAACTTCTCACTAGACCATCCCTGACAGGTTTTTGTCCATCCTGTTCTTAAAACTTTCAATGACAAGGATTTCATAACCTCCCTAGGTAACCTGTTGCAGTGCATTCCCTCTATCTGTATCTATCTAACTATCTGTATAATTAGAAAGTTTTTCCTAATAGCTAACCTAAGTCTCTTTTGTTGCAAACTAAGCTGATTGCTTCTTGTCCTTCCCCAGTGGTCATGGAGAACAATTTATCACTATCCTCTTGTAACAGCCTTTAACATATTTGAAGGCTGTTATCCGGTCCCCCTCAGTCTTTGCTCTAGACAGAACATGCCCAATTCTTTCAACCTTTCTTCAAAGGTCAGGTATTTAAAACCTTTTATCACTTTTGTTGCTCTCCTCTGGAACTCTCCTATTTGTTCAGAACTTTCTTAAAGTATGGTGCCCAAAACTGGACACAGTAATGCAGCTGGGGCCTCACCAGTGCCAGGTAGAGAGGACTAATTACCTCTCCTGTCTTACATATGCCACTCCTGTTAATATACCACAGAATTACCTTTCCCTTTTTCACAACAGCATCATACCATGACTCGTATTTTATTTCTGGTCCACTATAACCCCAGGCCCCAATCCTTTTCAGCAGTACTACCACCTAGCCAGTTATTCCCCATTTTATAGTTGTGCATTTGATTAGTCTTTACTAAGCGAAATACTTTGTATTTGTCTTTGTTGAATTTCATATGTGTTGATTTCAGACCAACTCTCCAATGTATCAAATTCATTTTGAATTCTAATCCTCTCCTCCAAAGTGCTTGCATCTCCTCCCAACTTGGAGACGTCTGCAGATTTTATAAACATACTGTACTCTCTACTCCATCATCCGAGACATTAAATGAAAGTATTGAATAGTACTGGACCCAGGATCAACCCTTGTGGGACCCCACTGGATACATTGTCCCAGTTTGACGGTGAATTTATTGATAGCTACTCTTTGAGACTAGGCTTTCAATGTTGTGTAATTTCATCTGAACCAATTTCCCTAGTTTGCAAATCAAAAATACTAACAAGCTACAGTACTAGCAGCTTTGAAGTCCCTGGGAGCATGTTGGGACTGCAGTAAGCAGAGGCCACAAACCATAATACTACTTCACCGGCATAAAGGTTTCACAGGTTATTAGCTTGTGAATCTCCAGAATTAAGCCTGACTCCAGTTAGGAGTTTTTAAACTATTTGTGATTTCTTTTAATTATTTAGGAAGTTACCAGCATCCCTTTGTGGAAGTTGAACTCTATTATGTCTAGCTGGTGTATGTGGTGTCTGTCTGAATTATTTCTGTAAGCCATGCCTACTTTGTGTGGCCCTCTGTCCCCCTCTTGGAGCAGCCCATGCATGGAATTGAACTGGGAAGCCTCTGAAGCTCAGGACACACTTGCCCTGCCCGGGAAGGTAGGTAAGCCATGCCTGCTCAGTGTGCCACTCTGTCCCCATCTAGTTGTGGCTAAGCCACATAGGGTATATCTACACCCAGGATCTCAAACTCAAATCACCATGAGAGCCACATGAGGACTCGTACATTGGCCCGAGGGCTGCATCACTGAAACCTTTTCATACAACAATACAAAAGTATAGTCAAAAATGAAAAAAATGAGGAGTAAGATAGTGTGCTATTAAAAGTCAATATATTAGCTATTTTAAAACTGTAATGCAAAAAGGGGTTTTAATAAAATATAAACACTCAGTCATGCACCTCACTCAAATGACAAAACACGCATTTACTTTTAGAATTACTTTGGTTAAAGCCCCACACCTCTGCCCCTGGCCCTGCCCCCACTCCACCCCTTCTATGAGGCCCTGCCCCCTGCCCCACCTCTTCCCGCCGCTTCCCTGCCCTCATTCCAACCCCTTCCCCAAAGTTCCCGCTCCAACTCTGTCTCCTCCCTGCCCCTATTCCAACCCCTTCCCTAAATCATCCCCTCAGCCCCGCTTCTTCTCGGTCTCCTCCCCTGAGCGCGCCACATCCCCATTCCTCCCCCCTCCCTCCTGGAAAGTTCTTGGCACCGCCAAACAGCTGGGGAGCTTGGCTGCCAGTGGAATCGGCGCCTATGGAGGGCTGCAGGAAATAACTCTGCGGGCCGCGTGTTTGAGACCCCTGGTCTACCCGGTAGCTGGCAGTGAACCTCCCGGCTCGGGTAGACGGACTTGTTTGAGCACAGCTGCCACTAGCAAGCTAACAATAGCTGTGTGGAGGTTGCAGCACCAGCAGAGGATCGTGCTAGCCAGCCAAGCTCAGGTGGCTAGCCTGAGCCTCCGCTGGTGCTGCAGTGTCCACACGCTACCTTTAGCATGCTTGTGCCAGCCCTGCTCACCTGAGTATGCATACCCAGGCTGGGCGGCTCCCTCACAGGGGCAGCACAGACATACCAATCACAAAGATGGATGAGCGTGCTACAGGCTAGCCAGAGAAGGGGGTGTGTAGCTCATGCAGTAAAGGCTTGTGCATTTAGATCCTGACAGCCTAGGTTCAATCCCTGCTGCTGATAACCCACTGAGGGGCATTTGTGCTGTGTTTCTTGTATATTCTCAGAGAAAATAGTGTGATATTACTAATATCAAGCATTAAGATAATTCCCTGATTTGATTACTGGCTGGTAAAGGGCTTTGTCAGTAGTTAGATGTCAGTGTTTTTCAGTGCTGAGCACCCTCCTTGATGCCTTACTGCATACAGTAAATGTAAGGTTTGCACTGCTGGAGATCATGCCCTGTTCCCCGGCTCCTTCTGCTAAGCCTGGTAGGAGTGTGCCTTAGGGTAAATGAGGCCAGATCACGCAGACACACAGGAATATGACATATGCAATGATCTTGTCTACCCAGCCAGAATATACTTGCTTCTAACACCTGCAAGAAATTAAGAAAGATTGAAATACTCCCTAAAATCTGTTGCTCATCATACAGCCTACACAAAAGAATTGAATTCTTTTTACATGAGCACACCGGGGTACATCTGCTTGCAATCATCCTTCTGAAGACAGTCAGGCCTCCTTCTGATTAAGCAGAAATATGATTCGCCACACTTGGTCCACAGAATGCTTAGTAGAATATTTCAGCAAAGGGGCTGGAATTCACTAGCAATAGAATAAATATGCCTTTCATATATTAGTTCTCCACCAGTCAGGTGGTCTCAGCATTTGGAACCCTTTTCCTCTGCCACCTACTCACTTCTTGCCCTACTTTCAGAAGTCAAGAAATGCTTCAATAAAGAGAAACTTGTTCTGTGACAGAAAAGATCATTTCTTCTGGCCAGGCATTTGGGAAGGAGACAGGAAGCATATTATTTTAAAGGTAAACTGATAAAATATGTGTTTGCTGTAGAAACGGGAGGAAAGTCAAAAATCATATTAGGATTCTTTAGACAGTACCAGGAGGAAACGTTACTGTAACACTTAGGATTGTGCTGACAACAACTACGGGTATCGTAGGGGAAACAGGTTAGTCTTCAATTATCTGTGCATTCCTGCAGTGTAAATATTTTTCTTTGCTCACAGAAATCTAGTTTGTTGGTGTGTGTGTCTAAATGTCTAAAACTACTACCGCTGCAATACAGTGAGTATTCCACTGAAGCATATTAGAGGTGTGGACAGTAGTAACATTGTTGATTTCTCAATATAGCCTTCATTTTTAGATAATCGTCAAGGAAAGAACAATAAAATCCTTTATTTATATGGAAGCAGAGTGTTTTCTCCTATTGTAGTTTGTAACATGGACACACTGGGGTTGAAGTAATGCACTTTTATAGGTTTGTTATGTTACATCTAACAGGATGTCTTCTATGCTACTATACACAATGACTGAAAATGTAATTTAAACTGTTTGAAAAGGAACCGGGCTTGTTTTATTTTTAATAAAAGAAAACTTGTCTTGATAGCTGTGCTGTTACTGTGATTCATAAAGGAAAGCTGACGGCTCTGTCTGCACCATGTTTATTTACCTCAATTGATTGCCAGTTAGCTTGAGCTAGTTAACAGGTTTGGAAAGGCGAGTGAGTGTGCTCCTTAAATGTTTGTTCCTGGATCCTGTATAGACAAAGTTGAAGACTTAAGCCATGCCTATGTTAGAAGTACTTTGCTGATACAGGTATCTCAGCATGTCTGTACTTATGGCTTATACTGACAACACTGAGTTTTTGCTGGAAAAGCTTATTCCAACCACCCCCACCCCCGCAGCAAAATAAATTATACCAACAAAAGTGCAGTTTTGCTGATGTAACTGAATTTACACTAGGAGCTTGTGTTTGCACAGCTGTATCGGTCGCAAATTGTATTTCTTCAGACTCCGTTGACACATAGTTATGCTGGCAGAAGTCAGTAGTGTAGACTTGGCCTTAAATAGTTGGCCTGATGCATTCTAGTTTGTGTTTGAAATTTAGAGGCATGTAGTTAAATGCAAAGATAAAATAGAAGCCTGTGTTAAATATTCATTTTATCAATTAAATGATCAGTTGCATGCCGACATCTACATATACGGTATAAAGGGCCTCATTTAAATAGAGTGAATAATTTGCTGCACTAATACAGTGTCATTAAAGTTTTGACACGGGAAAGAATTGTCCTTATTACACCTCTGTGTAGAACTTGGTCTGTTAAGCACACACCTACTTGGTATTATACTTTCCTTTAAAATGTCTTTAAAAGAGGTCACGTATTTATACAGTATATCAGTGGCAGACTTTCAGAGAGTATTGATCCACTGCATTGGAGAGTACATTAAGGAGCAATATTTTTGGAAATATTGCAAAGAAAGCCGTCCTCATCTTCTGCAGTGAGTGGGCTGCCACATATGAATGTACAGCCAGATTTTCGAAGACTCTGAGCACACTGGATACTGAGCTCTTTGGATAATCTGATCATAAGGGTGTCCATGGGAGCTGCTAGGCATCAGACTGTTCGGAAAATCCGAGCTGAAATCCTGGCTTCATGGATGTCAATGGCAAAATGCAGATTAACTTAAATGGGACCGGAATTTCGCACCAAGCCTCTATTTGGTTGCCTTGTTGTGAGGTGAGCTCTTATGAAAATCTGGTGTTTAGTGCTAGGGAAATCCTTACCATGCAGAATCCTCCCTTTTGCTCTTTTCTTAAGTTTGGGATGTGTGGTGAGAAAACATTATTTGCCCTTTGGCATGAGAGAAGGACATTAGCAGATCCATGTAGAAAATGAAGAAGCAATGAGCTTTAATGCAATACTGCAGTAACAGGTCAAGAAGTGATTCTCCTACAGACACTTCCGAGGTTTCAGAGAACTTTTGACATGAAATGAATTAAGTTTACTAATGGATTTCAAATGTTTATCTTTCTACAGAAAGAGGGATGTTTTGTTTTCATTTTACGTAGTCTTGCCAGTTTTAGCAACTGATATCGAAGTAAGTTTTTGACTATTTGAACTTTTAATTTATTTAATGGCGAAATGGAAGATCTTTGTGCTACACTCAATAATAACTGGATATGCACTAATGTGACAGGATTGATTTCACGGAGCCTCCTTTAATGTCTGGTATTTTAGCCCCGTCTGACTTCTATTCTGAAATTCAAATTAAAAGCAAAAGTCAAAACCAGAGAAAGCAGCACCAGACAATGTTGTCAGGAAAGCTTTGTATGTGGGTCAGTTATTTTTCAAAAGTCTCTACTCAACTCAACATACAGTTTTATCTGTGTGTTCTTTTCAGTCAAACATTTAACAGTTCAGCAACGCTTTTGTATTAGAATTCTCCCCAGCCACTTATCATTCCTGGGCAAAGTAGATTTTTAGCAAACATATTTAAAGACCCATCCAAAAAGATTTGGATTTGCTTCTTTCTTCCAAAACAAGGGAATGACTAATCTAGCAGTGTGAGGTACAAGGGGAAACATTTCTCCTTGAAAAATACTAAGAAGATTTCTTGCATAGAGGCTGAATGCTAGGGGTACTTTCACACTGTGCTAGACATGACTTATGACTGACAAAACCTAATGTTATATAGAATAATTATCTGAAGGGAACTGCACTTTGATCTGATATTTATTATTTTTAGTGCACCTATTTCATGGCCCCTCTTAAGAGTTCAAGATCCACCTGAACTTACCATCTTGCAAATTCTGTGGCAAAGCAATTTTGGTGTAATTTAGGACCACAGGACTGGAAGGGACCTCCTAGGTCATCAAATCAGTTCCCTGCTATTGCAGGCAACCATGTCATATAATCCCATTCATAAATTTTTCAAACTGCATCTTCAAACTGCATCTTCAAACTGCATCTTCAAACTAGTTAAATTTCTTGTCCCCACTGTTCTATTATTTGACATCCTCAGATTTCCTTGATACCCTTCAGCATAACTTTCAGCCTGGGTGTGACAGCACAAAGGCTACAGTAGCCTTCTTGACTGATCTCCTAGTGATGATATGCAAAGGACAGGTATCTACACTGATTATTTTAAGTCTGTCAGCAGTCTTTGAAAGCACTGGCTAAGGAAAGATATTGAAACTTGTTGACGGTAAAAGTACAGTCTATAGTGCGTTAGCACAGGAATCTGGATTTTGGCAAGGATGAACCCCTGGCAATTAAAAAAGGGACCTCAGATTAAGAACATAAGAACACAAGAACAGCCATACTGGGTCAGATCAAAGGTCCATCTAGCCCAGTATCCTGTCTTCCAACAGTGGCCAGTGCCAGGTGCCTCAAAGGGAATGAACAGAACAGGTAATCATCAAGTGATCCATCTCCTGTCGCCCATTCCCAGTTGCTGCCAAACAGAGGCTAGGGACACCATCACTGCCCATGCTGACTAATAGCCATTGATGGACCTATGCTCCATGAATTTTTTTTTTGAAGACTGTTATACTCTTGGCCTTCACAGCATCCTCTGGCAAGGAGTTCCACAGGTTGACTGTGCAGTGTGTGAAAAAATGCTTCCTTTTGTTTGTTTTACATCTGCTGCCTATTCATTTCATTTGGTGACCCCTAGTTCTGGTGTTATGAGAAGGAGTAAATAATACTTCCTTATTTACATTCTCCACACCAGTCATGATTTTTATAGACCTCTATCATATCCCCCTTAGTTGTCTCTTTTCCAAGATGAAAAGTCCCGGTCTTATTAATCTCTCTTCATACAGCAGCCATCCAGACACCTAATAATTTTTGTTGCCCTTTTCTGAACCTTTTCCAATTCCAATATATCTTTTTTGAGATGGGATGACCACATCTGCCCGCAGTATTCAAGTTGTGGGCATACCATGGATTTCTATAATGGTAACATGATATTTTCTGTCTTATTATCTATCCCTTTCTTAATGATTCTCTCCATGACACTCATTAGTCACAATATCGGAATCCAAGACTTGGTCTCAGTGGGAGTGCAGCAACCTAAAATATACTGCATTTTATTCTTTAAAATGTCTGTTTCCATAGTTAGTACTGTAACAGTTGCTGTGAGGCTCTGTGCACCTCTCAACGTCAATAGGTGAAAGGTGCCGCTGCAGCAAAGCTGTACTTGGTTTAGGGAAAATGTCACTTGTTTGTATCTTGTCCTCATCTTCAAGAGCTACTCAACTCTACTCCTGGCTCACCCACTCTTGTCCTCACATTGCTCCCCGGCCTCTCTGTTCTGGCATGATGCTAGCCTTACCAGCCAGTATATCCTCCGCTCCTGCTTTCTTCTACAGTATCTCTTCTGTATAGAAGACCTTCTTTGAAACAATCGGAAAGGCCAGTGTCCTTTTCTCTTTCAGATTCCTCCTCAAGATCCACTTCTGCTGTGACCTCTACAAGAAACTGGCTAATCAGTGATGTCTAGGTTGAGGGGAAGTTGGTTTTAGCTGATAGTTTATTTTTATACAAATAATTAGAGTATTTTTGAAGTTATTCAGCACAATCACATTGTGCACATAGTGAGTCTGTGTAAATGCACAAAGTTTTTACTGTTGCCCTTCTCCCTTGCCTTCCCTCCGAATGCTTGTCATATTCACTTTGTGCATTTCATCTTAAATTAGGCTCTGAGGCTGCAAACACATATACCCTGAGACTGTAAGCTCTTCAGAACAGAGGTGGGGTCTTCCTATGTGTATGTACATCGCCTAGCAAATAGAGTCTGAATTTGTATTAGGAATTAGGGCCTCTGGACACTATTACAATACAAATAATTAAGTATAATAAAAATGCCACATTATAATTGTTTATGGCTAAATTGTTCACAGTCTGAGGTGGTTTAATATGGCAAAAAATACCTGTGAACATTCATTTTAATAAAAACGCAGGTGCCCTCCAATGGTATTTACCATTTCTTCTAGTAACTTTCTGCAAAAATGCATATGG